GCGTCCAATCAGTGTGGATGCGCTAGTTCAAATTAGCAAAACGCTAATTCAAACTAGTTTTTAGGTCTAGCTGCGCTAGTTCGAATTAGCTTAGTTCGAATTAACTAATTTGAACTTAGTTAGTTCGAATTAGCGCTGTAGTGTAGACATACCCTGAGTTATGAACAGTTTGAGTTATGGACCAAGTGTAGATCCGTAACTTGTTCATAACTCGGAGAGCGGCTGTAAGGATGTGTCTAGATTACATGCCTCTGGCGACAGAGGCATGTAGATTAGGCTACCCGGCATAGGAAAATGAAGCAGCGATTTAAATAATAGCCGCTTCATTTAAATTAAAATGGCTGTCGTGATGAGCCAATCAGCTATTTTAAGGCTCCGTGCGCTAGTCTGAATGCTCTGTGGTCGACATCAAAGGCATTTGTCTACCACCCCGTTATGCCTCGTGGGATGAGGTTTACCGGGGCGGTCGACAAATGCCTTTGATGTCAACCGTAGAGTGTCCAGACTACTGTGCTGAGCCGACAAACACCTGATCGGCTCAGCGCAGCAGCCATTTTAATTTAAATGAAGTGGTGATTATTTAAATCACCGCTTCATTTTCCTATGCCAGGTAGCCTAATCTACATGCCTCTTTCGCCAGAGGCATGTAGTCTAGACATACCCTAAGTGTACCCTCTGCCTCATGCTCAGAACCTGTACCCCAAGCCTGTCCCCCCCAGCAAATACCCTACCTCCACCCTGCTCCTGAACCCTCCCTTGCTCCTACCCCCTCCTCCTGGTCAGACACCCTTCTTCCAGCCCTCTCCTGAACCCTCCCTGCTGACCACACTTCACCTTCTGTTGCTCCTGCTCCCTATCCCTGGCCAGATACCCTACTCACCTGCCCTGCATCCCAGTTCCCACCTAGATCCTGCACCCCATCAATGATCCCCAATCCAAGAAAAAAAAGTTCCCCTCCCCTACCATAAATAAGGAAAACTTTAAAACCTTTTGTGTTGGACATCAATTCATATTTTACTTTATTTTCAATGAAGTTTAATAAACAAACATCGGAAAGTTAAAAAGCTTGATCTGGTTAATAATTTCATATTTCCTTTTTCTCTGGTTAAATGAAACTGTTCTCCCCAGCTGCAGCACAAGCAAAATGTTCTAACCCAGTGGTCACCAACCAGTAGATCGTGATCTACCGGTAGATCTCAGGGGCTCTAAGAGTAGCTCTTGAGCCCTCTCTGAACTGCGCACCTGCACAGTACATTTACATTAGATTTCCTCATGTAATGTAGGCGGGGCTTCAAGGAAGGGGCGGGGCAATAGATCTTCACCTGTTCTGAGACTTAAAAAGTGATCTTGGGTGTAAAAAGGTTGGAGACCACTGTTCTAGCCCAATCATGTAATTAACGGGATCCAGTGGATATCGTGTACTTAGATTTCAAGAAAGCCTTTGACAAGGTCCCTCACTGAAGGCTCTTGGGTAAATTAAGTTGTCAGGAGATAAGGGGGAAGATCCTTCGATGGAGTGAGAACTGGTTATAAGACAGGAAACAAAAGGTAGGAATAAATGGTAAATTTTCAGAATGGAGAGGGGTAACTAGTGGTGTTCCCCAAAGGTCAGTCCTAGGACCAGTTCTCATCAATACAATGATAAATGATCTGGAGAAAGGGGTAAACAGTGAGGTGGCAAAGTTTAAAGACAAAACTAAACTGCTCAAGATACTTACGCCAGAAGCAGACTATTCACAGAACAGCAACTAAAATGATGAGGGGTTTGCAACAAGTCCCATATGAGGAGAGATTGAAGAGACTAGGACTTTTCAGCTTTAAAAAGAAGAGACTGGGGGGGGAGGATATGATAGAGGTGTATAAAAGCATGAGTGATGTGGAGAAAATGAATAAGGAAAAGTTATTTACTTGTTCCCATAATATAAGAACTAGGGGTCACCAAATAAAATTAATGGGCAGCAAGTTTAAAGAGAAAGTTCTTCACAAGTTTAAAACAAAGAGAAAGTCCTAGCTGTGAAGGTTAGGACTATAACAGGTTTTAAACGAGAACTAGATAAATTCATTGAGGTGAAGTCCTTTAATGGCTATTAGCCAGGATGGGTAAGTAATGGCGTCCCTAGCCTCTCTCTGTCAGAGGGTGGAGATAGATGATAGGCAAGAGATTGCTTGATCATTGCCTGTTCAGTTTACTCCTTCTGGGACACCTGACATTGGATGGGCACTGGTCCGACTCAGTATGGCTGTTCTTATGTTGGCTGAGGGAATAGAAACAAGCGTTCAAGTGTACCCATTGGAAGTCCATCATTATAACACCCCTAGAGTTCATAGAAGACATTGTGTTAATTTCCAAGTGCCAAAGCATTATCAGGAAGTTTCTGCTGCAGCACAGATAAAACAACTTGATCACCCGTCTCAAGATCTCTTGTGTGGTCACCCCATAAATGATGGGGTTTAACATGGGGGGAATGAGCAGATGGAGGTTCCCTAGAAGGTTGAGAATAGAACCAGGGATGATGTGCCCCAATTGGTGGGCAAAAGCAGTGAAAAAAGAAGGTACGTAGAACATCAGTATGACAGAGACGTGGGAGCCGCAGGTGCGCAGAGCCTTGAGCCGGGCGTCCTTGGATGGGAGCAGGAAGACGGCCCTGAGGATCAGCATGTAAGAGACAGCGATGAGCGCAACATCCAAACCAAATGCTAGAAGAGCTGTGACTATGCCGTGCAATTCGTTGAGTGTGATATCGCTGCAGGCCAGCCGGGATAAGGCCTTGTGCTGGCAATAGGTGTGAGGCAGGAGGTTGGTTCTGCAAAATTTCAGCCGCTTCACGAGAAAGATGGCAGGGAAAATGAGACAGAAACTCCTTGTGAGAACCGCCAGCCCAATCTTCCCGATCACAGGCTTGGTGAGCAGGGTGGTGTATCTCAGGGGGTTGCAGATGGCAACGTACCGATCAAACGCCATGGCCAGCAGGATGGCCGACTCGGCGATAAAACTGACGTGGACAAAGAACATCTGGGTGAGGCAGGCATCAAAAGAAATTTCCCCTGCTCCAAACCAGAATAGATCCAGCATCTTGGGCACTGTGGTGGTGGATAACAGCAGATCAGCAGCGGCCAGCATGGAGAGGAAAAGGTACATGGGCTCATGGAGGCTTCGTTCTGTCAGTATGATGAACAAGAGGAGAGAGTTCCCCAAAAGTGCCGCAACATACATCAGACAGAAGGGGGTGGCGAGCCAGAAGTTAGACTCCTCTGTTCCAGGAAAGCCGGTCAGGATGAAAGTGGCAAGGTAAAAATCACTGTGATTGTTGGCTGGCATCACGCACCATCCTTTGGATCCTCTGCTCAGCTTCCAGGAACTAACAACAACAACAACAAAATTTCACTGGGAACCGGAGTGTGAGCAAGGACTATGCAGAGGGATATGACGGGTTCCTCTGGGGGGGTCACGTGGGAAATGAAGGGACCCTCCAGCCAGCCTCCCCTCACACTGTGGTGCTAGGACAAGTGCAGTCCTGCTCTCTTTTGTGCACTTCCACCAGCATTCCCACGGGGACACATCCTGTTGTGATCACATGAACCACTGAGTGTGAACCAAAAATTGGGAATCTGCAGTCAAATTAAGCACAAGCTTCCCAGCATGTGGTGTAGACTCTCGCTCCCTCCCTCAATGTAGAGAGGAACAGACTTTGCCCCTCGTGCTGTGATTTTCCCAGGCACTTCACTGCAGCTCACTGGTTTAAAGAAAACCAAAGCAAATTTATTAACCAGAAAGTGAAGGTTTTAAGTGATCATAAATGATAGCAAATAAAGCAAAGCAGACCACCTGGAAAAAAATTCTCCCCCTCGCAAATGGTACAGGCAAGCTGGCAGATTCTGAAGCTCCAAGCTGCACTTACTTTATAGCTTGGAATCCCCAGGGCTTTCATAGCAGGGAAGAAATTTCTTTAGCCTGGGTCCAGCACTTCCCCACAGCTCAGTCTTTCATCCTTGGGGGTTTGCAGGAGTCTTGCTGTCTGGAGAGTGAAAGAAAAAAGGTGAAACCACTTCACATCTTTAGCCTATGGCAGAACCCGCATTTCAAAATGTGTTCCCTAGACCTCTTGGAGGAAAGCTACAGACATCCCAGGATGGAGTCCAGAGGCACATGGGCTGGTCACATGCCCCTGAAGAGTCAAAGCGTGTATTATCCATGGGCGGCCTTGAGTACTCTAAAGAAGTCTCACCAGGTGGGAGAGAAGATTCTCTCAAAGCCTATTGTTTTACCCAATGGCTCATTGTTCAGAATAGACCCCTCCTCACCAACTATCTTGATTGAAAGCATCTTGCCAATTTGACATGACCCAGGTGTAACCACAACAGAATTACAGACACAACTTCGGATACAGAAATAGCAAATCAAATAGCAACTCAGAACGTATCCAATGACACTTCACATGACCCATCATGTACAAACTGCATCCTGATGCCATCATAGCATAATAATGTCATCATGACTAATACAAAGTGCACACAGACTCACGGATACCATCAAAAATTTCCTTGTGGCCATGTCTACATGAAGAAACTATTTCAAAATTACTCAATTTGACTGAACAACTTCAAATCTAACAAGATCAACCTAGCATGTCCAAAATATGAGGAAGCCTTGAAATTGGTCTGAAGCAGGCTTCTTAAAGTAAATATCCTGCCTTGGACTTAGAGTCCCAGAAATTATTGTGGGAGTAATTAGTCCGAATTCCTCTGGCACCATATGTGGCACCATAGCATCCGCACTACTGCTATTTCAAAATAACTATTGGGAGTGCAGATTTAGAATTCAGTGGCCCATTACAAAATAATGGGGCTTAGTGGTGTGGAGGCTGCACTTATAAATTAAGCATAAGGAGGGTTATTCTGAAATAAAGTCCTAGGGTAGAACAGAACTGTGTGACAGTTGGACCACAAATCCAATCTCTCTGGTTGGACCACAAATCCAAAAATGTTCTCTGGCTACGGAAGTCCTCCATTCCCAAAGAAGAAAGATGGTTGGACGCATCTGACCCCAGTTAAACAGAGTGTGCTCCTCCTGTTGTCTATTCCCACCTCAGAATCTCTCTGAAGGAGGACAATGCTGCTGGTGAGCGATCAAAGTTGTGACCTGGGAAGGGGGATTGAGGAGTTGGAGGCACAAGTCATGTTCTGGTCCATCCTCCTGGTGGATGGAAAAGACTCAGCTAACCAGGGACCATCAAAGTATGGAGGTAAATGGGTGGTTCTCCAGGTGACGTGGGAGAGAGAGAGAACTTTTGATTCTTTGACCAGGGGATGTTGTGCCAGGAAGACTTACTAGCCCCTGGCCATTGCCTTTGAAAGGAAGAATCTCATGCACTGCCCCAAACTGGGGACCAGCTGGCTAAGAGTCCACTCTGCAGAAACAGCCCTGGGGAGAACAGTGGGTGAGAAACTGGATATGACTGGGCAGCATGACCTTTATTGCCAGAAAGGCCAATGGCATCCTGGGTGGCATTAGTAGTTGTATTGCCTGCAGACTGAGGGAAATGATTCTTCCCCTCTGTTTGGCCCTGGGGAGGCCGCATCTGGAGCACTGGGTCCAGTTCTTGGTCCCCCACAACACAAAGGATGTGGACGCGTTGGAGAGGGTACAGTGGAGGGCAACCAAAATGATAAGGGGTCTGGAGCACATGATGCATGAGAACAGGCTGAGTTGGGCTCATTTCGTCTGCAGTAGAAAACTAAAGGAGGATTTGACAGCAGCCTGCAACTTTCTGAATGGACAAGAGGCTGGAGAGAGGCTGTTCTCAGGGGTGGCAGGTGGCAGAATGAGGAGCAATGGGCTCAAGTTGCAGTGGGGGAGGTCTAGGCTGGATATGAGGAAAAACTATTTCCCTAGGTTGGTGGGGAGGTACGGGGACGGGTTCCCTAGGGAGGTGGATGGAGTCTCTGATCTTGAAGGTTTCTGCGTTCTGGCTTGACCAAGCCCTGGCTGGGATGGTTTCAATGTGGTTGGTCCTGCTTTGGGCAGGTGGTTGTATTTGACGACCTCCTAAAATGGGCGACTTGTCCCACATTTTCCATCTTCCCCTGATCTCTACTGGTGGGTCCAGGCACCGGCCAGGTCCCTGCAGCCTCATACCCGCCCAGCAGTAATGAGTGTGGGGGGACCCAACAAACAATTGGGATGGGTGTGTCAGACTGGCGGGGGGCGAGTGGAGGTGCAATGTGTAGGGCGATCTGCTCCCTGTGCTGCTCATTAGCATCCCCTGCACTTCCTGGCAACTCTTGGCCAGCAGCGCGATGGCCTCTCCCATTTCTGGGCAGTATTGGCTGCCTGCTCTGAGCTTCCCTGGCTGGTGAGAAGCTGAGACGTGCTGAGGCAGAACTTCTGTCCAGTGCTGGCCTGGGGAGGCCCCTCAGCTCGTGTCTCCCATGGAGGGTGGGAGGGGGAGCACTTTCCAGCCTGTCCGTGCCCTGAACTGTCACCCCTCCATGGGCTTAGCACCATAGTCCTGCGCGGCTCTAAGGGACCTATCCAGGGCCACGCACCTGATGAGGAGAACCACGTAGGTGGCCCTGCATAGGGTGAGTAGTGTAGGGGAATGGTGACCCAAGGCATTTGAATAGGGGGTGAGGTGGGGAATAGGATGAGAGCGGAGAGCTTGGGGCATGGAGCATGCAGAGGGGGAATAAGCCCCTTTCTCCCTGCCCCTGCCCCTGCCCCAGGGATACTGCACACCCCTGGACCTCACCTCACAGCCCATCCCCATGTCCTGACACCAGGGAGCAAGACGATGTTCCACACCATAGACACCCTGCCTGCTGAGCCCCCCCCCCTTGGGGCAGGCTTGCTGGAACCCCTGCAGCCAGGTCCCTTGGGCTCTGAAGCAAAACACTCCAGGCCCGGAGTATTTCCTGAGGGAAAGGGTCACAGACCTGCTAGAGAAGCCAGTCTCTGTGCCCAGGCGGGGGATACCGTCCCCACCGAAGAGCTGGTGTGACAGGGACAAATGCAGATTGAATAGCTGTCTTTGGCATGCTGCAATGTATCACAGCTCAAGGGAGAGACTCCTCCTGCCTCCTGCACTTGCAGGTCCCAGCGCCCATCCCATCCAGTTCCCCCAGGCAACAAAGGGGTTGGTAACCATGTAAACGGGGAAAGGGAGTGGGGGGGCAATCACATACCGAGCCCAGGGCAACAAGCTGGCCAGTTTGTGTCTCAAACCCAGCTAGACCCCCCACCAAGGATCCCGGCCCCTCGCTTGCCCCTGCCCTGTGCTCATGGGGAGGGGAAGGACATCGGAGGGGTGCAGAGAAGCTGCTGGGTGAGCTCCCCCTCCCCCAACTTGCCTCCCTGGCCAAGGAGCAGCACGCTAGACAACGGCCAGACTACAGGGGGATGGGACCCACCGGGCTGGGGCAGGCAGAGAGCATGGCAGGGAGGGTGGGCTGAGCGAGGGTGCTCGGAATCACGTCTGGCTTAGCTGGCCCAGCGTTTCCCCGGGACTCTGAAGACATGTGGCCCAAGGCAAACACTTTACTCATGGTGCCCTATGGCCGGGCCTGAACACAGCCCTGGGGCTTCCTGCCTGCACGACACTGAGGGGGAGAGGCAGCTGGGTGATTTTGGTGGTCAGCAGCAGCTGGGAGGAGTTGGCTACCACTTGAAACTGTGAGGGCAGAGTGGGACAAGACGTGTCCAGCCACGGCTGGGTGCAGGAAAGAGGAGAGACATGAGCCAGGTCACCCGTCCCCCATCTCTCTCGACTGGGGCTGGAAGCAACTTGGCTGGGAGGGGGCAGGGAGCCAAGCCTGGATGGTCACCTCAGTCCCTCCCTGTGGGAGGGGAGAAGGGGAAGGAGCACGTCACCTCAGCCCACGGCAAGGCCCAGGCCTTACGGAACAGAAGGTGCCGGAAAGGAGTCCCGCAGCACAGGTCTGCTTTGTAACGGCTCGGTCGCAGCCTGTTCTGACCGGTCACAGCGAAATGTCTGGCAAGACCAGTAATGGTTTCTGGGAAAGACAAGGGGTTTGCCCACGAAAGCGCATGACACGCCCCAGGCTGGTGCGTCTGCCCGGTGCCACCGGCCTATTCATCGGCACTCAGTCGGGGGAACACAGGTATGGAAAAAGCCGCGTAATCGCTGTCTCCTGGGTGCTGAGGTTTGGGCATTGACAGCTCCAGGGCACCAAACAAACATGTCAGACCCCACCCTGAGCCCACTGGTGCCGTGAAGGGACGTTCGATGTGTGTGAAGGTGGGTGATTTGGGGGTGGAAGTTCACAGGACTGGAGGGGATTTAAAGGAACGGCCCAACCCCG